TTTTTTCACAATAGCAATATTTCGTCGTATCGTTAAGTCTTATATCTTCGTCGAATACTTTTCCATAAAAAGAAAAAAAAAAAAGTTACTTCAAAAAAATAGTTCAAGCTAAATTAAAATATAAACACAATGGCACGAGCAGTACACAAATTACCTTTGTATAAAATCAGACGTAACCATCTCTATAGGTGTTATGTATTTCCTCACCGTCTGCGGTTGAAGAACAGATTTCTGTACTCTCGTACGAAATTCTCTCCATGGTTCACCGTGGCTGCGACAAGAATTGCAAATATTTTACGCCACTCGTCATCTACATGTATATCTCCTCACGACTGGTTTTTAGTGAAGGTAAATAGATAAGGTAAAACGTATGGTTAGCATCGTCGTAAAAGAGATATAATTTGACAAACAATTTTTGGTGCGGATAATTAATTTTATGCCGCGTAGCGTGGAGCAAACGAATGAAAAAAAAAAAAAAAGAACAAATTTTCGAATACTAATTACTGATTAAAAATAGATTCGCATTCCAACGAGTCATTTCGAACGAGGTTCTTCCTCATCGTCATTGCGTGCCTTATTTATGTATATATATATATATATATATGTGTGTGTGTGTGTACATACACTCCAACTACACCAGGTAGACTTCCAAAAAAATCTTTCCTCACAACGCTCTTATAATGCACGAGACACGGCATGGACGGTCTAAACGGCGTCGGCCCCTCCTGCCTGTAAATCTTCTCGATCTCGTCCGCGTCGTAAACAAACAACAAATCCGGCCGACCTATCAAACCTGTCAAACGGACGATCTTCCCGTACTCGTCGTAGAATATCTGCGACAATTTGGCAACGTCCGATATCTCGTATTGGCCGATCATCGGAAACAGGCGCCACGTATTCCCCAAAATTGGGATCGGTTTCGGGCCTGGTATGTCCTTGTACGGTTTCCCTTCTATCGTTGTGTCGAGCACACAACTCTTCGTCGAGGTTATTGCACCTGTACGAACACGACAATGGATAAAATTGAGCGCGAGTTGAATTCGAAATGGAGATGCGTAGCGCGATAGATAACAATAGCATTCGAAATTTATTATTTTTCTTTAAAAATCTGAAGATAAGGAAGAATGTTAGAAAAAATATTATCGCCGCAAATGTCGCAATTTAAAAAGAAAAAAAAAAAATATTGGTGATTCATTTCATCGATAATATAATAATAATCGTAAAGATCGTTCAAGGAAAGATGTACGTTGTATTTTTTAACATGGCACGAATTATATATACGACGCGATATAAATGACATTGGCATAAAAAAATTTTTTATCTTATACCTGAACATGATATTCTTCGTGGATCATTTTGCGCTTGCGACAATCGACGTAGTAATAAACTGGTTCTAGTAGTACAAATAAAAATATAATTAATAATTCAATGTAAGTAATTGCTTGTGATATATATATATATATATATATAATAAGAATTTTGAAGAATAAATATCTTGTTTTACCTATCATCGTATGTGTATTACAGAGAGAATTCACTTTCACTCTCATGTTTCAATTTATAATTTTATAATTGTAACGTGACAAGCGTTTGATAATTCTATGTAATTGTCGCAAGATTATCAAGATTCCAATACCATTTTTCAAATATCAAAATAATTATAAAAATAATATATCATCGACATATAAAATTACTGAGAATGAAAATACTTTATCCAAAATTATTTCATTAGTTTGGATTTATTTTAAAAAGTACGAGGTTTCGCAGTTTTTATTACCTCGAATTCTGAGCAATCATTAAAGAATTAAAAAGATTTCTATTTTTGCACAATTTTTTTTTTCTATAAGAAATTCTCCAAATCTTACAATCTTACCTGGTGTATGTAAACACAAATTTAACCAATGCACACCAAGGTCTAGAAAGAGACTTTCCGTCGATGTTTGCAATTCTACCTGAAATTCATTGTAATCCTCTTGTCCTCTTGTCCTGTCTCGATTTTCCCGTTATCGTGCGAAAGGTAGATTCCTCGCCATAAGTGGCCACTCGTAAATCACATCGGAATATTTTTCAGCGAATGAAATTGTTTATTATAAACCGTTTGAACACGTTGAATCACTCGAGGGAGATGAATAATTTCTCTGAACTAATAGCTTTTTTATGGTCGGTGGAAAATCATAAGTACACCGATACACTATGTGATGGAGAATACTCCACGTAAAATGAGACTACACTATCTAACCAAAGTGGAATCCCCACTTTGAAATCTCCCTCCACTGGTTAACGGTTACGAATTCACGGTGCTCTGCAGAGACACTACATTTGTAACTCTCTACAAACAGATTGCCCTAATATTGTCACTCTTGTGTGATTAAATTCAAGAAAAAAATAACAAAATAATCCTGTGAATTTGCTTTAAAAAAATGTAAAAATGCCTGAACGAACGAAAAAAATACAAAAAAAAGTTGATAAAGCGACGATTTATTTTAATTAATAAAGAAGCAATTTTAATTAAGCCAGGAAAATATTAGATTGGAATTAATCTCTGTTCATTATCGTTTGTTATATTCGTTGTTTGACTCTGCCCATGCAAGTGTCCAATATTGATACAATTATATGCTTAAATTTTAATCTCTTTAGGCAATTTTGAATTAGGCAACAGGAATTAGGTTTGCAATTCCTACGACTCTTTACACTTGTAATTATCAGTTGTCCTCTTATTATGACACTTTCAAACTTTCAGTTTCACTTATTATCACTTTTCGTAGTGACTCAATCTTACTACAAATTTGCATGAATTTATATTTATATGTATACGTATACAAATGTATACGTGGTATACATATAGATTTTTTTTTTTAAAATCACAAACAACAACAACCTGATTTAGATGTTAGAATAATTATTAATTCTTGTCGTTGCACGCGAATCTTAAAAATTATTATGTACATATATATATATATATATATATATATATATATT